CCCACAGCTACTTTTCAAAACGCTATGAGAAACACGATGCCTTCCAAGTTCAGGTTAGCAAAATAACTCAGCCTTTCTGCATTAGACACAGTCTCCAGGGCGGGAGAGGTGTGTTTTAGAGTATTTTCACAAAGGACGTGGGCTTTGACCTGAGTGCCTGTCTTCAGCCTAATGACCAAGGAACATTATAAACTGACTTCTTCACTAAGGGAACCTAACCAAAATATAATATTGTTCACAAGTCTGTTTTGATAAAAGATTCCCTGCTGATTTGAAACAAATTTTTAAACAAAAAATTACTTAAACTACTTGGAGATGGTTTTTCTGTGGAAATGTTCAAGTCCTCACAGTCATGGCCTCCACTTCTTTTCTATAAAACTCAGTTCTGCCTTGTCTTTCTCGTGCTCTTTTTAGAAGATTAATTCTTCATAAATAGGAACTTTTTTTGGTCAAGGAATTCATCCTCAGAGCTCCCACAAATGTGCCAAGAGATATGTTTAGAAATGTTCTTTCAATGCAGTCTGAAATAACATGAAAACCAAATGTCCACCAATCCTGACTCAACAAATTACAGTACATCTTCATAAAGACACACTAGAGAGCAAGTAAGTAAGTAAGCTAAACTGTGGGCTCACATTTGAAGATGTCTAGCATGTTTTAAATGGAAGACAAACAGTATTAGCAACACACATGGAGTGACCTAACTTTTGTTTCTGTTGCTTTAGAATTATAGTTATTTCAGACACAAAATGTTCCAGATATTGCATAAACTGTCCATGACCACATGAAATGATAAAATGTCCAAATATCCTTTAGGAAGCGAGTATAACATGGGCACTAATTTATGAAACATACTTCATAAGAACATTGTAAATATACCCAGCATCATACATATTTTTCAGACAGAGATGCAGAAAAAAAACTTTGACAAATTCAATAGCCATTCTGTCTAAAAATACTTAAAACATAAATAAACAAAAAACATTTGAGAACTGTTCTTCTATGGTTATAGGACATGAAGAAATCAAGTTGATACTGACCAAGAAGCTTCTCCCTGTTGGCTAGCCTTCAAAGTACTGGATGGAAGGTGCTAAGCAGGCTGCTTAGGAAAATAATCCATTAACAGTCTTATCCAGCTGTGAACCCTGCGAGTTCATTACTCCAGGAAATTATGCCTACATATGCAACAATGGCACAGATGTTATGGGAGTGACTAACCACTCTGTTTTGACTTAAGGCCCATTCCACAGGAAGAAACGCACGCCCTGGTACTAGAAAACTGGCCAAGAACCCATTGTTGGGAGCTCATCTCATGTAGCTCAATGGACATAGCATCCATCAAACTGTCATCCGAGTTCATACCTGTATACGGAGTAGGAGGCCTCACCATGAAGATGGGCATAGGAGAGCACACCTTGAATTCCAGCACTTGGGAGGTGGACGCAGCAGATCTCTGCGAATTCAAGGCCAGCCTGGTCTATGTAGTGAGTTTCAAGACAGCCAGAGCTATGTTGTGAGACTCTGTCTTAAAACAAACAAAAAAGAAGAAGAAGGCCTCATCAGATGCCAAGAAGATGCTGGCCCTGTGCCTCTTCCCAGCCTCTAGATCCATAAGCTAACTAAACTCTCTGTTTTATAACTTCCCAGAGAGTTGTGCTAAGACACGGCACTAGATAACAGATGAGCACAGCAGGCATAGACTTACACACAGAGCTTGAAGTGGAGCCTAGTGTCCAAGCGCCTGCCTAGCCCTCAGGTTCAATCCTTACCACCACAAAATTAATAGAATTAGATTAACATGTAAAAAACAGTCACCACTAGGTACATAAATACCAGCTAAAAGATAAAATGCAAGAGAAAACTCCTTGAAGAGTGAAACACAAAATTAAAATGCCCCAAATACACATAAAGGAGATAAAAATACATGGGGAAAACGACAAAATTACTGAAAGACACACAATACGTGAAGAAATAGAAAACATCCCTTTTTCTTGGATAAGTTGTTCTCCTTTCGAGTTAGTTTACGAATGTGATGCAGAACATCAACAGGACTTCCTTCTGGCCGTGAAGTCAGGATGCACTGTGGTCGGGAGGGCACTGCATGCCGGCGTCCTCTGGAGAAGGCACTTGCTCCACTCTCGTCTCCTGATTTGTTACCAATAGGCTTCTAAATCACTCCATTCCCAAAGGCGGATGAAAATCTCAATTTTGATGAGACACTACACAGCCTGAATATGTTGGTGACTAACTTAAATTTAAAATAGGACTGAGGACATGGTTCAGTGGTTAGAGTACTTGCTGTACATGTATGAGTACCCAAGTTCAGATGCCCAGTATGCATCTGAAACCTCAACACTGGGAGGCAGAAACAGAAGGATATGGGGACGGGGTGTCACCTGCCGATAGCTGAAACATGAGCTCTAAGTTCAGTGAAAAACCCTGTCTCAAAAAACAAGGCCAACAGGGAATCGGGGAAAGAGAAAGATAGCAGTATTGACTTCTAGAGCCACATGCTACCAGGTTTTGACTGTTTTGGAAATAAGCAAACTTTTCTATTAGGGGTCAAATATTTTGGCTTTATAAGATGCTCAAAGTCTCCATTTCACATTCTTACTCATAACTAAAAAAATACAAAAGATAGTTTAAAAAAGGACTTTGAATTTACCTTTCAGTTTGACAGTTTACCAAATGACTTAACCAGTGGGCCATCTCCTCCTGGCACAGAAGCAGATCTCCCAAGGAGTATGTGCAGTGCTCTGGGCAGGACTCTACCATTCCCCGCACCTTGACAGCTTTCACAAATGATACTGTATCAGCTCACATTAGACACTTAGCTCAGCCACTGTCCCACAACCAAGCACGCGTGTGCTGGGGCTGCCACTTGTATGCATTTCCTAGTTTCTTAAAGATTTATTTGATAAGAGTTAAGGGAACATCTACCCGAGGCAGACCAAGAACGTGTACTCCTATCAGACCAAGGGCATGGCAAGCATCAGAGAATTCACATACACTTCATTTAGCAGAGTGCCTTGACCCTCTCCAGCCTCAGAAGGCCTGAGAGGCGACAATGAGACTGGTTAGAAGTTCTTAAAATTGAAACAGGTATTATCGAGAGATGTAAAAGATAACACATGAAGGGAATGGTCAGGCGGCTGTCAGCCACTCAGTGCCTTAAAACTTCAGGCATCGCTGAAGATACCAAGATTCCCAACTGCTGCATGATTTACTCAGGTGGGCTAGGTCCTACATTACATTACTTGTAATATTATACCAGGTCAACTCAACTTGTGCCTCATAATCTTCAGTTTGACAAGGAAAGCACACTAAGACTATCAAATAACCTAGAGATTGCCTGGACCAATGGTCCCATCTTCTTAACAGTATTTCCAGTTCTACGTAATAGTAAAGTCAAACACATTCTTCCAGCTTAACAAGAGAGCAGACAAGCCAGCTGTTCTCATAGAGTTCCAGCTCTTAAACAGCCACTGTGAAGAGCAAGTACAAAATCTATAACAGACTTTATTGTGTTTGTTTATGAAAGGGTAACCAAAGCTAAAAATCAATCACTTCCTAATTATTTTCCTACATTTTATTACTTCTTTTAGACTATGTGTATCTATTACATCTGAAGGGTGGAAATGTCACATGAGCCAGAAATGAGGCACATGTATGTAATCTCTATATTTATGAGACTAAGACAAAAGGACCAACAGTTCAAAGTCATCCTCAGCTACATAAATTGAGGCCAACTGAGCTATATAAGAACCTATCTCGGCTGGGTGTTGGTGGTGCACGCCTTTAATCCCAGCACTTGGGAGGCAGAGGCAGGCTTCAGTCATTCTTTACTATCCTCCTAAATCCAAATAAAAGAAAGTTGCCTGCTTACAGAACAGCACCTCAGGAGTTATGAAAAAAGGCATCTTTTTTGGACATACACCCTTTTTCTAAACAAGGAAGCAATAAATAGTAAGTTAGGTCTGAAAACACTTAAGAATTTCCACATTTGTGTTGTCAGGTGTTTATCTTTTTTTTCCTTTTCCTTTGTAGCCCAGGATGGTTTCAAATTCACAGCAAGCCTGCCTCAGTATCCCAAGTGCTGTGACTAAAGCATGAGGGACTATACCAAGCTCTGTGCTTCTATTTCATACATCAAATTCTTCATCCAGTGAGAAGATCTGTTGACCCAGCAACATAACTGGCCCCAAGAACAAAGATGGACCAATTTGCACTGCCCACAAGCGAGAAGAGATTAAGTAGGCCCTGAGCAACTCCTGAAAATACAAAGGCCTGGATGCCATTTGGGTCATTTCAGACATATGAAGCACTTTACTCAAGCTACTTAAAAGAATACCAAAGTTGGATAGCGTGAAGATATTAAGGCATGCCATACTGGCTTTTGTCTTTAATTTTGTGTTTCCAAATACTCTAAATGACTAAGCTGAACTATGTCTCCTTCCTTCCTTCTTTCCTACTTTCCTTCCTTCCTTCCTTCTCTTCCTTCTTCCTTTGTTACAGCTGAGGTGGGACAGGCACTCATACGATCATATTCTAAAAGGATGTAAATTAAGACTGTGGGTCATGGCCTTGTTCTTTCCAGTAGAAAAGTATCAAAACATTAGAGCAAAGCAGTATGAGGAAATGCAACATAATTCTAAATTGAAGGAACAACAATTCGCTGTACTTTCTTGTTTGCAATTTACAAAGATGATGCAGCAGACTGAATCACACGCATTTCCACCAAGTACTGAGACACAGAGAAATAGCCTCTTGGTTTTAAAAGTTATTTCAATTTCTGTGTGTGTGTGTGTGTGTGTGTGTGTGTGTGTGTGTAACAGAGCATTCAAATTCATGCAGTATTTAATATTTGAATGAAATCTAAAAACTCCATCATCTTATGGCTTTGCTCTTCAGAATCCTGGGCACACCTGACTTGACCGGGTGAGTAAAAAGGCTTTGCTTGCACAATGTGGAGTATGGTTACCAAAAAGGGGCAAAGATCATCCTTGTTTTATACTTTATTTAAAATTGTAAAATGATAAACAGTTAACACATAGATGAAAATTCAGTACCATTACTTAGATAATGTTTAAAACTTGACGATTCATAAGCTCACAAATCTTCTATTGCCAGTTTAGTCTATGTAGTCAAAGTCTTCCGGAATTCCAAAGTTTTTATCAATTTTACTTTCTTCAAACCCAAATTTTCTTTTGGCCCAGGATTTTATTGCAAATATGTTATCTATAAAAAAATAATTTTTTTAGAATTAAAACCACACAAAAATAAATAAAAAGAATTAAAAGCACAATCATAAGCATCTTAATCTAGCTATCTGCATTGTTACTGTGCTTTCATTACCCTCAGATACAGTAACGTAAGAAGCGGTTTGCCACTTAAGAATGCCGAAGGGAACAGCACAGACAGGCAGTTTCCCACATCTACCGGAGGCCAGGCTCCATCCACTCCCTCAGAATTTTAGCTGCTCCTGCTCCCCAAATGAGCCCTCTCTCTCCAGACCTCTGTCCTCACTCTCCGAGTAATGGCTTCCAGACAATGTGACCAGCCAGACGGACTGGGCAGGCGGGTGGAAAAAGGTTCTCTCTTAAACTAACACAGAAACAGATGTGTCTCTGGTATCCCTACAGGGAATTTGTTTTCTTCCACTGAGAAGGGAATTGCACCTACTCAAAGGAATGTATCCCAAAGGAGGAAGCCCACATTGTATACAAAGATTTCTAGACCAGGGTCTCCATTCCAGTGCAGCAACAACAGTGAGGTCAACACCCACTCCCCAAGCATCAATGCTTGGCAGCAGGGAGGCAGCACAGTGTAACGGGTAAAGGCAGAGCTGCCGCTGCAGTTCCCCAACCCTTAATTCTATTTATTTCTCATCTGTTATATAAGGTATAATTAAAATGCTTCCCACAAACACAAGAACAATGGCATAAAGTTTTACAAGTTGGACACAGTACACTGCACTGGTAGTAAAAATGAGTAAAAAATATATTTTTTAAAGAATCAATAGTGCTAACAAAGTATCACTGTTTTTCTATGAATGTACTATAGAATGCCAACAGATATTTAAATAAATCTATTCTTCATAACAATCTAAAATGAATCTTAGTATTTCATACCGTGAGAATACTAAAAACCAGCACGAGGTAGTCCAGGAACTGCTGGAGTTGTGTGAATTTCACCAGTGTGTTTAGTCCAGAGAGCCTGGCCAACTATAGCCCAGCACTCACAGAGGTGAGACAGAAGACAAGCACTACAGATACTGGAGAATGCGCAGAGTATGTGCCTTCAAGATGGCACAAGAAGAAACACCATTGATGTAACTTCCAAACTATTCCAAAATCATGTGTACATCAGAGAAAAAAGACCAAGTATCATGTGCCTTCCAGGACAGTCTGCATAAATACAGAGACTTCCAGGAAACAAGGACAGGAACAGAACAACAGAGATGGCTTGTGGGAAGATATCGTGAACCTGGGTCAAAAGGAGAATGTGGGCACCCAAGGAAGCTTTCGGCAGCTCTGAAGAAAGGAGCCTTTAGTTCACATTAAGGGCAAGAAAACATGCAATGACTAGAACCAAAAGAACCAACAAAAGCCACCCTGTGGTGTCTAAGGGTCAATTCCAAGATGCTGTTCAAGCCTTCCTCAGGTCATTGGAGGTCTGCCTTGATAAGATGGTGCCTGACAATAATTTTCCTATTGTACATAATTTTATAAGTGGACAGAGACAATTTTTTTAAAAGAAACAACCCTGAGACTTTTCTGTAAGTCATAATTCCTGTTAGTGAACATGGTGTTAAACTTAATACCAACATAAGATTTTTTTTGCAGTGAAGTCTGTCCACCTCATGCACTAAGATGCCTTTGATTCCTAACACAGAAAACTAAATCGCTAGGTCTCCACTATGTGAATTTATTAAGATGCAATTTGTTAAAGTATCACAAAACATTAATAAGATACAGTTCATCTATTTTTAAAACTCCCTCTTTGTTGTTTTCGAGATAGGGTTTCTCTGTGTAGCCCTGGCTGTCCTGGAACTTGCTTTGCAGACCAAGCTGGACTCGAATTCAGAAATCCTCCTGCCTCTGCCTCTGCCTCTTGAGTGCTTGGTTCAAAGGTGTGCGCTACCCATCCTACTGTAATCTCTCATTCTATAACCTAAAATGCTGAATTATTAAACAATAGATATTCTTTTTTTAAGTATTACATATTTTGGCTTCTGCTTTTGTTTCTATGGGATTTCTGTGTGGCAAATGTGTCTCTATGTCTGTGTGGGTTTTTTTACTCTTTTTCTTCTGTTTTCTTTTGTCCTATTCTGATTTTTTGTTTTTATTTTATCCAATTTTTATTTTATTATAATTTTCTAGATACCTCAATGTATCTTAATGAGAGAGAGAAAAAAAGGGTATGGATTGGGGGGAGGGGAGCAGGAAGGATCTGGGATGAGTTGTTGGAGGAATCTATTTTCAGCCAGGTGGTTGTGCACACCTTTAATCCCAGCACTTGGGAGGCAGAGGCAGGTGGATCTCTGTGAGTTCGAGACCAGCCTGGTCTAGAGCGAGTTCCAGGACAGCCTCCAAAGCCACAGAGAAACCCTGTCTCAAAAAACCAAATAAATAAACAAACAAACAAATGAAAACATCCCTTTCACAGGCTTTTCAAACTCTCTGCATTTTTGTTTTTGTTTGCTTGCTTGTTTTTTTTTTGCAGTTAACCACAAAGGGAGAAAAAGTTCTTACATCAGTTTTTCTTTTTTCTTTTTTTTTGGGGGAGGGTTACGAGACAGGGTTTCTCTGTATTGTTTTGGAGGCTATCGGTCCAGCCCAGCCTCAAACTCACAGAGATCCACCTGCCTCGGCCTCCCAAGTGCTGGGATTAAAGGCGTGCGCCACCACTGCCCAGCACAACAGTTTTTCTGATTCTAATTTTGGAAATTTATGATGAATTGGAAAACAATTTATACTTGCTTACTTAACAATCAGAACTTACAGTGAATTGGGAAACCAAAGAAAGGGGAGTATATGTCTAAAGTAGCAGCTGAAGAGCTTACAAACTCTTATTTAGTCCCTGAAAAATGTGAGGCAGGCATTATTCACAGTGAACAGACGAGGAACGAGTTCTGAGAAGTCCAAAGGGTCACAGAGCAAACCAGGCACTCAGAGTGGTTTCCATCTGCCACACACACACACATTCTGCTGGTGCTGCTGTTTGATGTGTTGTTTCCCTGCAAACTACTGGAGGACAATCATGAAGTTTTATTTATGCTGTGTTGTGGTAGGGGAGGCTGAGCACATGCGTGTCGTGGCACAGGTATGGAGGTCAGAGTCAGTTCTCACTTCCACCATGTGCATTTAATTGAAGTCCTCAGCTTTGGCGATATTACTCCCCTGACCTCTTATCTTCAATCCATAAGAACACTTGCTTCATTTTCTCACACAAAATTGTGTATTTCTCAAACTATCACATTTGTTATCATTGTTATTGTTAGCGTTTGGGGCAGATAAGGTCTTACGTGGCCTCGGTTAGTCTTAAACTCCCTACCTAGCCAAGACTGAGCTAGAACTCCTAGTTTTCCTGCCTCCAACTACTGAGTGATGGGACTATAGACACGTGACACCATGCCTCATTATGTGCTTCTCATTTATACTTCACTGACACAATGTCTGCTCTTTCTCTTCTGTTTTCCTTACTAAAGCAGCATTTTGTTTAGGAAACAACTTATAATAAACAAACAAATAAATAAATGATAGTTTTATAGGAGCCTAAGGAGAATTTCATTAATATTTCCTGTTTATTTTATTGTAAAATGTGGGGAGCGATGTTATTTAGGACCTCTTGTAAATATTGCCAGGCTTTTTAAATAGTCCATTGTGTTAAAAGAATAGTTACCTTCAGTCCCAATCAACCCTTTTCCCCCTCCCCTGCTTCCTTCATTGAGAGATACTGTACTGTGTATGCTTTTCTTTTTAGCATTCCTGATATGTGGATGACTGAATATGCAGATGCAGAGCCTATGAATACTGAGAGCTGACTTTGTAAAATATCATGTCAGATAATTGTTTACAGAATTCATTACTTCATTGCATATGAGATTTGTTTTGTTGTGGAATAGAATATTTGTTTAATATGTAGAGATGTGTTGCATTTGTGTATCCTGCATTTGTTTAACTATGTAAAGATGCATTGCTGTTTTACCTTGCCTGCCTAAGGCACCTGATTGGTCTAATAAAAAGCTGAACAGCCAGTAGCTAGACAGAGGAGGGATAGGCGTGGACCAGTAGCAGGAAGCTCGGTACACATGCCTGCTCTCCCAGAGGCTAACCCTGAGACTCAATGGTCCCCACAAATTCTTCCCCTCTCTGCTTCAACCCTGTATAGACCCCCCCCATAGAAACATAATGATAATGACTAACACATGATAGGTATTAGACTCTCACTAGGTGGAGAAACTCAAGCACCACCATTTCATCATCAAATATTGGAAAATATCAGTGCTACTTTCTGGCAGGTTTAATATTACTAATCATACTTGTATATAAATCACAAAATTACTAATTTTCTCCCAAACTTTAGGACATACATAATGCATTTGTGGGAGAGCAGGCTTGACACAGGATGGAATCTCACTAAGTAGCCCAAGTTGACTTTGTTGTGGTGATATTTTGTTTATGATCTAACAAATAAAGCTTGCCTGAAGATCAGAGTGCAAAGTTAGCCATACCATTTAGCCATATAGGCCAGGCAGTGGTGGTACACACCTTTAATCCTAGCACTCAGGACAGAAGCAGACCGATCTCTGTTAGTTCAAGGCTACACTGAGCTACATGAAATTGATCCAGTCTAAAAAAAGAAAAACAGCTCACACAAAGGTGATCTCAGCACTTGGGACCCCCACATCTTTAATCCCAGCACTAGAGAGTAATATAAGGTAGGAGGAGACAGGAGCTGATTACATTCTGAATAGTCTGAGGTTTGGTGGATTGCGCTGGTAGAGGTGAGAACTTTCTCTCACTTCTCTGATCTTCAGCTTTAACCCCAATATCTGTCACTGGTTTTTTATTGTTCGTGCTATACTTACTCATGATCTTCCTGACTCAGCCTCCCAAATGCTAAGCTTGTAGGCATGTGCCACCACACCTGGTGCCACAGTGCCCCATTCCTATGTCTTTGAGTATCTTTGGAGTAGATCAGAAAAAGAAAGCAGGCTCACAGAGAAGAATCATAAAGCCTGGCCTAACTCGTGTGACCCTGCTTCAAACTGAGGAACAACAATCACATGTATGTTGGCACTTCCCACAGAGATAAAGTGAGAATACAGCACACTCATTACAGAAGAGCAACAAAGAACCCTCAAAACACACTAGCTCTTCTTGCTTTCAAAGACAGAACTTCTGGAGTCTGTGAAATCCCAAAGGGATTATAAATTCCAATACATGAAACTGCAGCCTGCAGATACATACAGATCAACGGGAGGGCATTTGCGTGGCATGTGTGAAGCCATGTGTCCAATCACCAGTACCAAGGAAAAGCAAAACTATATGGAACTTCAACCACACCCTTAGATATGTAAGGTCAGTGATCAGGAACTTGGCTTATGGAAAAGATGATTCAGAATTTGTGTAAAGCACTGAAAGGCATCATTGTGGAGCCTCTGCTACTGTCTACCAGTGACTATGCTGCACCTACCAGTCCATCGGTTGGCAGCTTCCTTGGCTACTTTATTTGCTTGACCTGAAAAAAAATAGATAAAATGATATGCAGTAATTTATACACATAAAACCATCTCCAACCCTGTACAGATATAAACCAACATATTATAAATTACACATATATTGGAAATTACCATGGAAAAACTCAAATAGTAGTATAACATTGTGTCTTAAAAACCTGCTCAAACACTCAAGACAATTTTAGATATTTTAAATTACATTAGGTAAAGAATAGAAAGCCAGTGTGAACAACTTCCCTTCTAAAATGTCCATCACCACCGCACTTCTTTAAAGCACAGGTTTATTTTACTCATTCATTCATTCATTCATTCATTCATTCATTCAGTGTGGGGCCAGGGATGACACAGCACAGGTTTGGAGGTCAGAGAACACCTTGCAGCAGGCATGTCTCCTTCCACCAGGATGTCGGGCCTGCTGACAAGCATTTTTAACCTCTGAGATTCCTTTAACCTCTGAGAGTCCTTGCCATCGCCTGTAGTATAGGTTTAAATGAAATGTTTCTCAATCAACTTACCGTATCAAAATGATAAAACAATCTACTGCTATGAGTTTTATTCTATATATTCTTTGGCTACGATAAATCTGACTTCTAAACATATTAGAAACAAAATTGGGCATGGTGGTTCACATCTTTATTCCCAGCACTTGAAAGGCAGAAACAGGAGGATCTGTGTTAAGTTCACGCCAGACTGGTCTACAGAGTGTGTTCTAGAGCAGCCAGAGCTGCATAGTAATACCCTGTCTCAAAAAACAAAACAAAAATGTTAGAGGCAAGAAAGTCATCCCATAGGAAAAAATACTGATTTTACTTTACATTTTTTTTTTTTTTGGTTTTTATGAGGCAGGGTTTCTCTGTATTGTTTTGGAGGCTATCGGTCCAGCCCAGCCTCGAACTCACAGAGATCCGCCTGCCTCTGCCTCCCCAGTGCTGGGATTAAGGGCGTGCGCCACCACTGTCCGGCTGATTTTACTTTACATTTTAAACATACACTCTTATACAGGTACGTCAGTGCATGGCTGTACTTCAGCACACTAGAGGCTGAAGCAGGAGGATCTCAAGTTTGAGGCCAGCACAAAACTACAGTGAGAATTTATATCAAAACCAAACCAAAAATTTAAAATAATGAATACCCATTTTGCTACTAAATGTATGTTTACAAATATCTTTTATGTCATTGTAGACAGAATGGTCATAGCAATGCCATGACCAACCAAGCATAAACATCACTTTTAGTGATGACTTGTTTGTTTGGTTTCGTTTAGAGACAGGTTCTCTGTAGCCTTGTCTGTCCTGGAACTCACTTTGTAGACCAGGTTGGCCTCAGAGACACAGAGACCTGCCTACTCTGCCTCCTGAATCCTAGGTTAAAGGTATATACCACCATGTCCAGCTGACAGTTATTTTATTTATTTATTTAGTGTGCATTGGTGTTCTACCTACATGTATGTCTGTATGAGGGTGTCAGATCACTGGAGTGACAGAGTTGTGAGCAGCTATGTGGGTGCTGGGAATTGAACCCTGGGTCCCCTAGAAGAGCAGCCAGTGCTTTCAATCACTAAGCCATCTTTACAGCCCTGATAACATTTTTTTATGAAAACATAAGTTACATATGACAGACTGCACCCTATCAACTCAGTGGATTTCATTATACAGTTATACAATCATCACCACTATCTTAATTCTAGAAATTCTTATCAATAATAGGAAATCATGTACACCAAAAAGACATCAACAATCCCCATTCTCTAGCCCCAAACAACTACTGTTGGACCCTTCCCCCATAGGGATCTGCTGACCAGTTTGTGACTAGGAGCTTAACTCCTGTTTCCCTCCTTCCAATAAGGCCTGAAAGCAAGTTCCTGTTAACCGCCCATCCTTATAGCCAGAGGGCCCTGGAAACATGATCTTCTGACCTCGGTAGTTTTCCACAGTGCCTGCTGACTGGTATATAATGCCCCCTCTTGTTGCAATAAATGACATTCTCCTTGCAAGAATGACCCGCTGTCTTTTGTCTTTATTTCAATCCTCAGGCCCTGGCCCTTATCCTTGAGAAGTATTGTAGCCTGGGTACTACAAACCACCATTAGCTTTCTATCTTATGGCTCTACCCTGTGGGGATACTTCATATGACAGAAACGTGTTCTCTCATGTGTGGCTTCTTTCCACACACCCATGTTTTCAGGGCTCATCAAAAATCAATACCTATTATTTCACATAAACTACATTTCACAATTTGCTACCCATTTGCTGACAGACATTGGGCCATTTCCACTAGTCCAAACAATAATTGCATTGAACATATATTCAATTCTTCTGTGTGTAAGTCTATAAATAGAATTGATGACTCTTATGCTGTCTACTATTTTGAGGAAGGATAATTTTTGGGGGTGGTGGTGGTTGATTTCTTTGTTTCTTCGAGACAGGGTCTTAACATAAGTTCCTGGCTCATCTGGAACTTAATGTATACAGCCTCAGACCTACCAATCTTCCTGCCTCTGCCTCCTCTTAAGTGACAGATTGTAAGTGTATGTCACCACACTTGGCCTTCAGTTTTTAAAGTGGCTGTACCATTGTGCAATCCTACCAGTTACACAAGTGTTCCAATTTCTCCACATCCTCAGCAACACTTGTCTTAAAACAAGCAAAACTGTAGTCATCTGGGGCTGGAGAGATGGCTCAAAGTTTATGAGCATTGGCTGCTTTCTCAGAAGACCTGGGTTCAACTCCCAGGACCTGCATGGCAGCTCAAAAACAATTATAACTCTAATCCAGGGAATCCAATGCCATGTTTTGCACTTCATTTATGTGATGCACAGACAGAACACATAAAATTAAAAAATAGGGGGAAAATCCCATCCTAAGGAATATGAAAAGACATCTCAACTGTAGTTCTAATCTGCTAATTAGGAATGCTGGGTGTTTTTTGTTGTTGTTTTTGTCTATTTGTTTATTTCCCTTGGAAAAATGTTTAATCTATTGACCATTTTAAGTTAAAATTTTTTGATCATTTTATTAGTGAATTATAAGAGTTCTTTTTATATTTTGAATATAGCCTATCTGCCAATAGAAAGTTTACAAACATTTTTCTCATGTTTCATTTTACAACCTTGATATTTGAAGTTTTCAATTTTGATGAAACTCAAATTATGTTTTCTATTGTTTTAATGTCACACGTAAGTATATATGTGGAAGCCCACAGAACTGACTCCATTCCATTTTGACTTCAAGTCAGAGAGCTTTTACCTGCCCTTGCTCTTTCAAAGTGAAACAACAAAGATGTCTGGCCTACCATGTGGATGCAATAGGATGTTTGGGCCTAAGGTGTGGCAGCTGTATGGCCTGCCTAAACAACAGAATACTTAGCCCAGGATATGGTTACTTGATGTTTTGGATACTGAAGAGGTAATTACAGGTTGTTCCTTGTATCATTGGAGAGGAAGGGCCCCTCCCCCTCTTTTTTTTTTGTTTTTTGTTTTTTTTTGGTTTTGTTTTTTGAGACAGGGTTTCTCTTTATTGTTTTGGAGGCTGCTCTGTAGACCAGGCTGGCCTCGAACTCACAGAGATCCACCTGTCTCTGCCTCCCGAGTGCTGGGATTACAGGCATGCGCCACTAATGCCGGGCCCTCTCCCCCTCTTTTGATGGGGCCATAAAAAACTTTGGACAATAAATTTGGATGATTCAGTATTCTCTGGTTGCCCTTCCAACTCTATCTCTTGTTTCTTGTCTGTTACTTTTCTCAATTTACACTCTACTTTTCAGTATGAAACTGGATTAGAGCCGGGCATTGGTGGCGCACGCCTTTAATCCCAGCACTCGGGAGGCAGAGGCAGGCGGATCTCTGTGAGTTCGAGACCAGCCTGGACTACCAAGTGAGTTCCAGGACAGCCTCCAAAGCCACAGAGAAACCCTGTCTCGAAAAACCAAAAAAAAAAAAAAAAAAAGAAACTGGATTAGTTGGTGGGTCCAGACAAAAATGATGCTTAATGCAAGGAGAGAAAAAACACACCTGTGTTTCCTTTTGAGAGATGTAGCTTGAACCCTTATATTTAGGTCTTTGGACCATTCAATTTCTGCTATGGTAAGCAGTGGGGTGCACGTTAATTTATTGCACGTGTAGAATTAATTGTGCCCATTAGTATTAAAAGATTTCTTTCTCAGCTGAATGATCTGAGAACCCTGAATCCTGATTACAATCAACCATGCTGACTTCTGGACTCTCAGGTTCATTTCATTAACCTATGTCTCTCCTGACCTAGCACCACACCACTTCAACTGCTGGATTTCTAAACTAAATTCTGCAAGTAAGAAAAGTCGCCTTCAACATTAAAAAAAAAAAACTTGTTTATTTTCTTCTATTTCTGTATGAACTTAAAGATTAGTCTATCAATTTCTGAAAAATAAGCAGGTAGAACTATGATGGATTCTTCATTTAATAAGTAGATTAATGTTTGGAGTGTTTCTACCTTCACAATATTAAATCTTTCACCCACTAACCTGGTATGTCTTTCCATTTATTAGAAGTCTTTATTTTGTTTCAACAATGTTTTAATTTTCAAGACACATCTTAACCCTTCTTTGTTTGATAGCTTTATTTATAAGTCACTTGATCTGATTTGATGCTATGGAAAAACATGTATTTTCTTCCCTTAAGTTTCAATTTGTTCATTATTAGCAATACAGAAATACGAATGAATTTGGACATGATGATGTAATCCTTGCATTTGGAGAGGCTGAGGCCAAAGGACCAGCAGATTCTATGCTCCAAACAAACAAAGAGGAAACACAATTTTTAAAATACTGACATTCTGGTATGTAAACCCTCTGACACTATTAGTCATAGTAATTTGGGGGGATGTTTACATCCATGAATATAATTATTGTTGAAGATTTTCAATTTTGGAGGTATTTGTTTCCATGTATATAAATATTGCTTAGGATTTTCCATATAAATATAAAAATATATAATCTAAAAACAACTACCTTTGCTTCATTTTTTGTT